GACAGAGCATGGTAGGGTCTGGGGGGAAGTTGTGTTTAAGTGAAAGCTTGCTTTAAAACTTTGTTCCTGTAAGTGCTGGAGTGGCTTAGGGTTGGGAAGAGTCAAAGAGAACTTAACCTGTTTTTTCAGTTTCATAAGAGCTTTGGGTTTATAGTCACATAATCAATTCCAACTCGTGACTTTGAATTACCCTGAGCTGGTTCAGCTGTTTGTGCATGTGCTTTCACTGCGTCCCCATCTCGAGGAAAGTGAGAAAACTTAAATCACCTCACAGTCAGATGATCCAGATGTGATGAGGGCTGGGTAGTAATGCACATGTGGGGTACAGCAGCAAGGCTCCACAGCTGTTATCTGCATTTTATCTCAACTGCTTTTGCTATTTTGGGCCTGAAAAAGCAGGAGTGGCCAAGGAAGTGAAAGGAAGCAGTCAGCACCTTATTTGAAAGTTGAATGGAGAAGAGAAAGGATTAGGCCAGGGCTCAAATCCTGTCTCTGAAAACCTGACCAACACGGGGAAATACGCCAACAATGGAGTGGGAGAAGTCTGTGGGAGAAGCTGAAGTGGGCTTTTGGCTGCAGAGGTACAGCCTCAACTGTCAGCTCAGGGGGGACAGTGGGAATCCATCCTGGCTGCTCACAGAGAGAAGCCACAGTGATTCTGAGCCACCAAGTCTGCAGCAGGGTTGGTCACCCCCGGCAGGAGATGGAGAGAGAAGCCAGGCCCTTTCTTTTCCCGCAGAGAGCCAGCATTTTAAGCCAAACCTGAATTTTCCCCCAGATTAGGCAGAATCTCCCAGTAAGGATGCAAACAAATCTTCCCATGCCTCTCTTGGAAGGATGAGCATTGCCAGCATGTCCTGGGGAAGGAGCTGATGGGTTGTGCTACCACATGTTCCTGGTGTCAGCTGGTGACGATGCAGCCCCACAGCACAGGTGTGTGTTCTAACCTGAACCATCCCTGTCAGACCACCACAACTCAGGTGTGTACACCTGTCCCAGGAGTTGCCTGTCTCTGAGGGAGAAGCACGTGGGATACTCTGTTGAGAGGAGTTTTGTGTGCTGGTGTTTGGAGCACGTGGTCATCTGAATAAGTCAACAATTGTTACAATAGGATAAATTTTAAGGAGAAGATCCAGCTCAGGCAAATGAAGAAATGTCAAAAGAGGAGTGGCTGAATTAAATGAAGGATAAAAAAGGGGTTTTATATTGCAACAAACAGTGGGGAGCAGGGGTAGAGGGGTACAACTATGATGGGTAGAATGTCCAAACTGTTGAAGCATCATAATGAAAATAGTTTATGTAGAGTTCAGGAGGGGTTAAATGCACAAATGATTGGACTGGCACTTCATCTTGCATAATGTCTTTGACTATTGGGTCTGTGCATTTGAAAACAGTATAAATGAAATAGCCCCAGGTAGCTTTAACATATGCGTGGACATGAAGCTAAGTACAAAACAATATACCCTTTTTTCCCTACTTTGGCTCCTCTGTCAGCCTTGGTTTCTGAGGTGAGCAGGGGAAGGGCTCTGCATTTGGGTACCCTGCTTTTTCTTAGTAGTTGCCGTGACTCTATGTTTGCCTCAGGGAGCCAATTATAGGGCAGAAATGAAGCATGATCAGCCTTTCATGCAGGAGTTTCATCCTCACAGAACTGAAGAGTATAAGAAGAGCAAATACTAATTTCTTGCTGATAAGTGCTTCTCAGAAGTGTGAGGAATGTGGGTGAACAATACCAACGCACCTATGAATTATGAGTTGTAGACACAATTCATATGTCTCCGAGGCTGTTAGTGGAGATGTGCTTTTTGCTTTAGAAGATGATCCTTGCCAAAGCCTCTATCCTGAGAAAGGTGCCTGTGGTGCTGGATGTGGCAGCTGACTGTAGTCAGTACCCTACCTATATGCTGAAGGGGAAAAAAAGGCTTTTCAATTGAAGTGCTTTCTGTTACTCACTCTAAAAGCACCCTGCTAACTAAAGTGATGTAATGATAAGTGGATAGCCGTTCATTTTCCAGGTAATTAATGCAAATCCTATAGGAATACTTCATACTTATTGTACCAGATAAGGACAGGCAAACTAGTAAAGTACATACTACAAGAAGAAGAAGATAAAGTCTAATAAGGCTGCAACACCAGGTAACTCACAAACCATCTCCCCAAGTTCAAATATAAATGTATAGAGAGGCACATTTCTCGCTTCTCATCTTTTGTTGCAAAAAAAGACTATCAGTCTACTTCTCTTTTGGTTGCTCCTTAGCTGCTGGCACAAGTGTAAGAGGAATAAACATTTTCTATGATTACATGATTCTCCAATATGATGAGACTATTTCTCCAACCCCGTAGCAGCTGAACAGCAGGGGCTGCTCTCTGTTCCTGCCAGTGCAGACCAATATCCCATTAATTTCATTATTTGTAGACCATATGGGTGAATGTTTCTGGGGTGTTATTTTTGTCTTCAGTTAAAGCAGAGTCAGATCCAATAACAGACATTAGGGTGAAACTGATGTTTCACTACAAGACTACAAGACTCTAGAAAGAAGAGACTTCTGAAAGATTCCTAAGTGTCAACAGGAAAAGGCCATGGAGGAAGGGGATGTCAACAACTTTCCTGACTTCTTGGCTTAGAAATGGCATTTATTACAAGGTAAGAAAGGACTTCTTGTGACATTAACAGAGATTACCAGTATTTGGGGGTGGGGAGGTATGAAATTATTTTTCTCCTCTCATCTTTCAGTGTATGTTTCATCCTGCTCTTCAAGTGGGTGAGCCCATACAATTACAGAGCTATGCCCTTGCCCCACAGCGCTCAGCTTGAGTGTAACAGGGGATGACAGAAAGAGGTTAGAGGGAAAAGAAGATGATTACAGAAGCAAAGGGTTTCAAAATGCCTTTGTTAAATGGACATTTTGGGGCAAGTCTGAAGAGGGGTTTGTGAAAGAGATGTCATTTGGGCTGCAGAAAGCCTATGCATTAAGCGGAAAAAAAGATATACCAGTTTATAATCCACATAATGATTTAAAAGTCATAAGAAAAACAACATGTAAAGGCTTCTCAGAATCTTTTTATCATTACACTGTCAAAACACGCAGGAGCCTAACGTGTGGTTTTTATTTTAGGGCACCAGTACTTCCCGATAGCAATGTATTGCACGTTCCTAGGAAAACCCTGCTGCTTTCAAGCATCAAGCTCTGACATGTCAACTGCAATCTTTGTGAATGCAAAGCCCCCTTGGTGTTATTTTTTGTGACAAGCATGCTGTCCTATTTACATTCTAGAGTGAACAAACAAGGAAGCATTCCTTGAAACAGGGGTACTCAGAAAGAATCTTCCTCTCGTCTGAGGAGGAGGGAATTCGATGAGACATCCCCTGTGGGTCTGCAGGGACTGTGGAGGAGGCTGGCGATGTCAGCGGGCGGCAGAGCCGCGTGGAACACGAGCACAGACCTCAGCGGATGAGGCTGCAGGCAGCAGAAGGCATAAACTTACAGGCAAGGCCTCATCACAGTGCTGTCCCCAAAAGGCAACTCTTTAAGGTCCATCAGTCAGAGTCATGCCCTCCTGATGGAAAATACAGCCTGTCCTTCAGCTGTGTGTGCTCTGAGCAGCAGCAGGTATGGCCTGTTCTCTTCGACACTCAGGAAGTGCTGGCATCATTTCAGTTGTTGAATCACCTGCCATAATTACAGTAGTAGTTTTGTGCTTCCCTCAAAGCAAGGGCCTGGAGTTTCCCAGCTGGGCTGCCTTATTGGATTTTGAAGATGAGGTGCATGTGGATATGGCAGTAGGTATCCTACAAGCTGTACAACGTACCAGATTGATAAAAAGAGGGTACTACTAGAGGCTAAACTCAGCATGCTGAAGCTAAAATGACTTTTGGGAGAGAACTACAGCTGGGCTGGAGGCCTTCTTTGCCAACCACAGGGATGTTATGCTTGAAAAACAAAGTGCTTCACACCAACAGTACTGCTGCAGGCTGGAATAGGCTGATGGGATCGATATCCTTGCAACCTCTGTTTAGGGCCAAAGAAGTAACACACTGATGGCAAGAAACTTGCTGCATTATCTAGCTGACTATTGTCTGAAACATTTAACACAGGGTAAGGAGCCACTAACAAAGACAAGGCCTTATCTGTTTAACATTTTTACTAATTCAATATTAATTAAGTATTTTTGATACTGTTCCTTATTGAGGTCTTCAGATGTACAGTGGGAATCTCTACCACTTTAAGGACTTGAACTGTCTATGCAGGTAATTGGCAAACTCACTCTAGCTTTTTGTTGGTCTCAGATTCTACAATGAGTTTTTCTACAAGATGGGCAAAGAAGCTTCATTCTGGAAGGGCTCAGGTGTCAGCCATGACACAGAGAGGTACACTCATGCCTTACAAGAGCAATCTTTCCAGAGACTCTTCTCCAAGCAGAACTGATATGTCCTGGATTCCCCTAAAGCTCTGTGCTTTATGCAGCAGGATTGTGGAGATTTCCAGTCTTGGCCCTTGCTGGCCAGTACTGCTTTTGAGGATGCAGCACACAAAAACACAGTCTTGGATGGACAGCCTCGGCACTGGCACGGGATACAGGTTCAGGTGGGAAGCTGTACTGATGCCTAACACTGCTACACTCAACACTTCTAACTCAGGGCTGAATAGGATTACAAAAAAAAAAATGTCTTTTACTGTCAACACAGCTGAACCACATAAAAGGTTGGGTTTTGCTTTTGACAAGAAATGGCGAGAAGGAAGTCACAACACCGCGGCTGTACTTCTATAGAAGTGGTACTGTGTTATGTAGAACTGGGGAGGGAAGGGTATTGACTCATTTGGAGCAGATTCAGAAGTTGTGGCCTCATTTATTTTTATAAACAGACCTGGCATTGCTGCATAACTAATTCTCTGCAATTGCTGAATCAGGCACTGAAAGTCTTCTAAAAGCTGACTAACGAAGTGTCTAAAGTGAAAATATGCTGCTACTCATAAGAAGAAGCAAACTAGCAAAAACCATAACAGTTAATGTCTTTAATACAAAATCACTTTCTTTCCCCAAAGCATCAGCACTGCATTACAGGTATATTACAGTTAAATTAAAAGGAACACCGTTACATCTTCAGAGGACCTCTTCATCTATGAAGTAAAATCTTCCAAATAATTCATAGTCCATTTCTGTACATTTTAGCTTATCAAAATGCACTGGAAAAAATAATATATTTCAGCAGGTGTCACTACCACCATTTCTCAAAGAAAACACGGTTTCCAGGAACACCAATGTTAGACAGTAGTTTGGATATGGATTCTATCATTGGAGGTGGACCACAGATGTACCATGAAGTATTGTTAGATACGTGTTTTTCTAGATCCTTTTCAGATATTCTTCCCTCTGACGAAGAAAAAAAGTAGGAAATGAGAACAGAAATATTAATCGTGAAGTCATTTCAAAAAGAATGTCTGGTTAGGGGTATTTCAAGCACTCCTTTCTTAAAAATGCCTGGCCTGTTTCAGAATAATAGGTATTGAGATTTGAGGCTTCGAAAGCCATTTGTTCTTTTGGGGATTTAGATCAGTACTTCTGCTTGGAATGCAGAGGGTATTAGTCACTAAAGAGAACACAGCTTACATACAAGCAAAAATCCCACATTCATGAAAAAAATAGGTAAGTATCTCTAACACAAATACAGCAGAAATGGAAACATGCTGAAATGTCTCTTACAAGCAGTCAGATTATCCTTCATCAATCCCACCTTAAGCAAAGTAAATAGGAAAGTAAATACTTTGCTTAAAAATTTCTGGAATAAAGTTTGAAGTGGGAAATACCAGTATAAAGTTTTGAATTAAAAGAGGAAAACAAAAACTGGAAAGGGAAAATTTTTCTGCAAAGCATAGTATGGTCAGTGAAATTATTTAGGTTTAACTCACATCTTGATTTGAACCTTTAAATGTAAAAATACTGAGTTATGCATAATAACTTCATCCTTTAGGATGTAATCAAACTTGGACTTTGATACCATTCTGTACATTTACCTGTAACATGTGGCTGAAGTTCTTTACAGATCTGTGAACGCTGTTGGGTAACGTGGAAACAACATGTGATCTTTCCAGGAAACGTGTTCATCAAACCAAGAATATTTTTCTGTAATGTTAAACACACTTGCTTACACCACAGGCCATTAAATCAAAGCAGATGTATGCACACACTCCCAGAACACCAGTGATTATTACAGAGAACCAAGACTTTGCATTTCAGCACCGAGAACCTGATGGGCTTGATTCCACAGGGCTGACCTGCACACCTACACACACAGTTCCCACACCTGGAATGTAAATTCCCTGCCAGCTACGTTAGAGCTTGTCTCCTTTGCTGAGATAGGTTGAATCTGTAAGATTTGAGCCTAAGAACCAGTTATGTCATTTCCCAGTTTCTTCCCCTTTTAAATTCTCACTATTTCCTCCTTCCACTTGCATAGGGGTTTTCCATTTAAAAACCCCCTGCAGTATGTATTTACCATTTGTTAGGAACTTTTTGAGTCTTGTCTGCTTTATGTGGTAAGATTACTAGACCTTTTACTGTCTCACATCCTCCAAGTAAAACCAAATACAATATAATGATAATGTTACTTTTTACCAGAGTAGAAAGTAGAAACGGTAATTTTCAGTTCCCTAACTCACAGCTGTGATAAGTTACAGCCAAAACCCCAGCAGCTTCAATTCAAATCATAGTAAAAAAATAATGTGTCTCTCAGATGCTGTAGTTAATTCTGAAATTAAGATTTAGCTGTTGTCTAGATTCTGCACTATTTAAGATTTTCACTGCTGGAATGGACACTGGAAATTCTTAAAAATATTTTGAAATACAAATAATGTCTACTCTGCAAATAGGTAAATTAGCTCATTTAGTTGTGTTTGCTTGCTAACTGGTTACTACACTAGAGAGTCTGCCATGGGTTGCTTAACAAAAAACCCTAGACAGATACTACTTAGTAGGCAAATCTGTTCCTGAATCCCTAAAAAGACAAGGAATGAAGAGCAGCACAGCCTGACACTGTAGGACACTAGTTCCACTAGTACCTCTGTTGACTTGCTATCTTTTGTAACTCTCACACTATTGCTTCTACCGTTTGCACTAAGGAGATTTTCAGAAGCAGTGCCTCAGCCTGTGACATGAGAGCACATCCAGAACAAGCATCACACCCAAGACATTGGTGTTTCCCTTTGCCCTTGTCAGCCTATACAGAGCTGGTCCTTCAGGGAACAGGTCCTCCAAACCATCAGTGACAATCCAGCAGTTCTCCCTGGAGAGTTGTACAGATGTTTCTTGCAACAGCATAAGGGCTCCTAGTGATTCTATTTCCTCACTCCTCTGCACAGAAGTAAAGAATTTTGACAGACATGTTCTGGACTTGAGGGACACGTGAAGCATATTGTAAGCACTGTAAATATCATTGTGTTCTCTTCTGTCCCAGAAGCTTTAATACAAAAGCTCTGCTGTCACAGCACGGCTGAAGTGAAACCGGAGAATGTTAGCACAGGCACTGAAAACACCTGTGCATGCTCAGAACACACTGGCACAGCAGCAGTGGGCCAAACGGAGGAGCAGATTACTCTGCTTCTAGCAACAAACAAATGAGTTCTCAAAGAAAGCAAATATCTCCATATCTAGTAACATGGCAGAATTACAAAAGAAAAACTAGTGATGGATCCTGTACACAGTTTATTTTCACCTTTATCTTACAATCAAAAGCCTTCAATACTTTGAAGAAATCTAAATCATTTTGGATGCTTCTTTACAGAAGCTGGGCTAATTTGACCCTAAAATGTTATCAGTGACCCTTAATGGCTGAGTGTGACAACTGATCTTTAACTGCTGAGTAAATGTTGATGAAGTGCTGGACAAGAAATTTTAAAAGCAGCTATAAATCCTTCATTCATACAATAGTACTCAATAATAACTAATGCATTATCAATAAAGCTCCCCTGTTATTTTAGAAAGTGTTTCCTTTGGATATAATTGCTCTTTTCTAGTTTTTAAATTCAATACAATCTATACCAAGACTAAGTGGTTTCAGTATTATAACATTATGCATACTATTGGTGTGTATATATACATATAAATATATATACTCTTTATTATACTATGATGCTCTTATGAGACTATAGTAAAATGCAGGGCTACAGTAAAATTTAGGGGTAATTGACTTATCACCAAAGTCACTGAGACCAGGTATATCTAGTAACAGCCTTAATTTGTACACTGGCCTAAGAAGTTAACAAAACACACATGGGATTTGAGGCAGGAAGTGAGTTTTGTCTCCATTTGTACACTGTCTTACACAGAAGGACTCTCTGGAGTTTGGCAACCAATTGATACGCTCACTAGCAGCTGAATAGCTGAGACCTATTTTTTAAAAAAAACACCTTTTTATTTACCTTAAATAAGAGTTCACTTGTATTTTTTGCACTGTAGTACAGCTTCACTGTTCCCAATTTGTGTCCATTTCCTTTACCCTCTTGGTATCCATGAAGATCTGCTATATGCAGCAGTATAGAAAACAATGGGTTAATTCCAACACCCCCTGCTATCAGCACTAGGTTTACTGGGGAGTCACCAGGCTGAGGATCAAAGAAGAAATCACCTCCCACTCGCAGAGCCACTTCTGAGTCAAGAGTACACTAGGACGGAAAAGAAGATATTTAATTTCAAAATGAAAAGCAAAATTGAAACCTTATTCTTCTCCCATTCCAGTCACAAGACTTGCTGGGCTGTGATTTTTTATTTTTATTGACCAGTGAGGGAAAACCAGAAATACTTCAGAATATACACAAAATTTCCAGCTATCTGAGGTAACCCAGTGTCTCTAGGGATCCAGTTCTTCTTTCAGTCTTATGGTAAGGCAGGATGGCAACTCCCCCTTTTCATCCCCATAGGACTTGAAAGAGGAACGATTCACACAAGAATTTTCCAACGCAGGACGTGGTTGTGAAAACCCGAGGTCAACGTGAGATCACACTTCTACCCAAACCCAGCCTCGTGTCAAGAAAATTCCCAAAAAATAGAAAACACCCAGAACTGAAGCAGTATCCACAAGAATACTTCTTACAGAATCACTTCTGCATTTGCAACTTCAGAGGCACAGAAGAATAAAAATCAGGGGAAAACCTTCTCTCTTATTCTCCATTCGAATGTAAGATATTATTTCTTAGAGAAATTAGTCCAAGCATGTTTTTTTGTTACATGGAAAATGAAAGCTACAACAAAAAAATCCATTTGGGCCAAAATCTTCTTGGTAAACCAGCACTGCATCCCGGTATGAAGGGTGAAACTGCAGTACAGAGAAGTCAGGTGAGTTCTCCCACATCACTGCAAGCAGACAGAACAAGTAAGAGCAGAAAACACAGCTCACTTCAGGCCGTATACAGGTTTTCAAAAAAAACCCTAAAGAGGATAGGGAAACCAAGGAAGGTAGGAAAGGAAGAGGGAAAAACAAGGAAAGCTACAACAACTGCTAAAAAGTTAGCTTAGAAAATGAAAACACTTCCTCCAAAGAATCCTTCTGGTATCAGGAAACAGTAAATTGAAACAAAAGGAATTCCATTAATGACAACTGCATAGACAGCAAAGGTCTAAACATGCAACAATTCCACCAGGACTAAGGAGGAGGCCTTTGGATTCAGGTATTGCACAGAACACACAAGTTCCTAAAGTCGTTAGCATGATCATTAAAAAAAAAATCCCCAAATTTCTTGCCTTTCTTAATTATTCCATGAAGTATTGTCTCTCAATTACAGTGTAAGACAGTCAGCGTTCATTATCTGAAAACATTTTCTCTCTCCTTGTTCATATACACCACCAGGCTTTCCCACCATGTTTTACTCTGGTTTAGAGATACATGAATCCACAAGTGTTCCAGATTCACATGGCAGAAGGAGGACACAGAATATGGTACCCTTTGAGGAAATAAACCTTTTCAGGGAGAAACAACCTCTGTCATCTAACCTGCCACCTTAACCAGATGTAGCTCATCAAGATTGGACATGAGGAGATCTCTCATAATCAGCAGTCTCCCACATATTTCCACGCTTTGGCCATGACAGTGATAACAATAAGTCAGTATACAAGAAAAGACAGTAAAATTCTGGAGTACTATGATGAGAAAATGTTGTCCTTTAGTCTAGTTTATAAACACAGCTCAGGTAGAGAAGTGAAGCAATCAATGCATTACATGGACATTTTTCTAAAAGGCTACATTTTCCTAAAGCTATAAAGTACACAGTGCTAAAATTTATGATTTATATACAGTAATATTAAGAAATAAATACCTCTAAAAAACCCCAAATACAGTAAGTAGATGAGTGCTAACTATTCCCATAACATCTTCTACCCTGAGTTACCAACTTCCTTTAGAAGTAACTTCTAAACAACTAAGTACCAGAGCTTTTTCACCACATATACAACATTTTCAAATTCTAGGTTGATATTTTTTTTCTGCTTGTTTCCTAAGAAAAAGCATGTGGTTTTGTTTATCTAGAAGAGTCCATATGTCCCCTGGTGGTTTCTCTACAGCATCAGGTTTGGCATAGCTTACCCCTTGATTAAAGATTTATCCTAAAATTCAACCAGTAAACTCAGCAACAAACTAATTTATGACATCAGAAGTCCTAAAAGAGTCTTCAGAGATTGTGAAAAGAACAAAAGTTGATAGGACAGATCACTGATGAAATATTTGACTCCTCTGACTGTAACTAAATGGGGAACATGATGAACAAAACACTGCAAGAGACCAAGTGTCAGGCTTTGTTTTTAATATAGCAAAAAAATCAAGCCTTGAGTAATATGTCTATATTACAAAAATACTGCATATTTAAGAGAATATTATAGAAATCCTAAAGTATTCTGTTGTTTTGTCATTTGAGAAAACCTGATCTAAATATCTCCCTTGTCTCCCTCTTAATAAACCATATTTATCTGTGATTTATCAATGATTTCCATTTTATATTTGTAGAAATGCTCAGAAATTATGGAACGTTATCAGATTAGCCTTGTAAGGTGTAACACTGTTGTCAGGAACACAATTTAGAACAGAGAGTTTTCAACATTTTTAAGTTTATTAATTCCAAAGGAGTAAGAACCCTTATATGCACTAACTACAATATCATTTTTAGTCCACTGTAAGCACAAGTGGAATCAAAAGGTTGCAATAACCATATTACCATATAAAAACATCCAATTTCAGTCTCTTACTGAACAATAGGTTTTAAGATTTATGTTGTATTAAAAATGGTTGAACAAGTCAACATGAGTTTTGCAGTCAATAGCATGAAGTGGTCTAGAAAAACACACACATAACTCCCTCCACATCCCCAAAATCCCACAAACAAACAAACAAAGAGCCAAATCTCACAGTTAATGTCATTTACCTCAGTGTGAATCCAGTGAGCAGGAGGATGAACAGTGTGCTTTACTGCCAGCTCTAGTATTCCTTCTCGTTCTAAGAGGCCAGGGCTTGAACATATTGAGAATCCTCCAACTACAGATACTCCAGGAATAAAGAAATCAACCCTAAAAATAGACCAGAAACAGAATTTTAAAAAAGAAGCCAACAACCTCAAACATGGAAAACAACAGCCAAAACAATATGGCTGCTTTTGTTTCAGTTATCTTTCCTTTACAACATCTTCATTTCCGTAACATAACTTTTCCAGAAAAGGAGTTAATCTTGCATAATGCNAGTGCAGACCAATATCCCATTTATTTCATTATTTGTAGACCATATGGGTGAATGTTTCTGGGGTGTTATTTTTGTCTTCAGTTAAAGCAGAGTCAGATCCAATAACAGACATTAGGGTGAAACTGATGTTTCACTACAAGACTACAAGACTCTAGAAAGAAGAGACTTCTGAAAGATTCCTAAGTGTCAACAGGAAAAGGCCATGGAGGAAGGGGATGTCAACAACTTTCCTGACTTCTTGGCTTAGAAATGGCATTTATTACAAGGTAAGAAAGGACTTCTTGTGACATTAACAGAGATTACCAGTATTTGGGGGTGGGGAGGTATGAAATTATTTTTCTCCTCTCATCTTTCAGTGTATGTTTCATCCTGCTCTTCAAGTGGGTGAGCCCATACAATTACAGAGCTATGCCCTTGCCCCACAGCGCTCAGCTTGAGTGTAACAGGGGATGACAGAAAGAGGTTAGAGGGAAAAGAAGATGATTACAGAAGCAAAGGGTTTCAAAATGCCTTTGTTAAATGGACATTTTGGGGCAAGTCTGAAGAGGGGTTTGTGAAAGAGATGTCATTTGGGCTGCAGAAAGCCTATGCATTAAGCGGAAAAAAAGATATACCAGTTTATAATCCACATAATGATTTAAAAGTCATAAGAAAAACAACATGTAAAGGCTTCTCAGAATCTTTTTATCATTACACTGTCAAAACACGCAGGAGCCTAACGTGTGGTTTTTATTTTAGGGCACCAGTACTTCCCGATAGCAATGTATTGCACGTTCCTAGGAAAACCCTGCTGCTTTCAAGCATCAAGCTCTGACATGTCAACTGCAATCTTTGTGAATGCAAAGCCCCCTTGGTGTTATTTTTTGTGACAAGCATGCTGTCCTATTTACATTCTAGAGTGAACAAACAAGGAAGCATTCCTTGAAACAGGGGTACTCAGAAAGAATCTTCCTCTCGTCTGAGGAGGAGGGAATGCGATGAGACATCCCCTGTGGGTCTGCAGGGACTGTGGAGGAGGCTGGCGATGTCAGCGGGCGGCAGAGCCGCGTGGAACACGAGCACAGACCTCAGCGGATGAGGCTGCAGGCAGCAGAAGGCATAAACTTACAGGCAAGGCCTCATCACAGTGCTGTCCCCAAAAGGCAACTCTTTAAGGTCCATCAGTCAGAGTCATGCCCTCCTGATGGAAAATACAGCCTGTCCTTCAGCTGTGTGTGCTCTGAGCAGCAGCAGGTATGGCCTGTTCTCTTCGACACTCAGGAAGTGCTGGCATCATTTCAGTTGTTGAATCACCTGCCATAATTACAGTAGTAGTTTTGTGCTTCCCTCAAAGCAAGGGCCTGGAGTTTCCCAGCTGGGCTGCCTTATTGGATTTTGAAGATGAGGTGCATGTGGATATGGCAGTAGGTATCCTACAAGCTGTACAACGTACCAGATTGATAAAAAGAGGGTACTACTAGAGGCTAAACTCAGCATGCTGAAGCTAAAATGACTTTTGGGAGAGAACTACAGCTGGGCTGGAGGCCTTCTTTGCCAACCACAGGGATGTTATGCTTGAAAAACAAAGTGCTTCACACCAACAGTGCTGCTGCAGGCTGGAATAGGCTGATGGGATCGATATCCTTGCAACCTCTGTTTAGGGCCAAAGAAGTAACACACTGATGGCAAGAAACTTGCTGCATTATCTAGCTGACTATTGTCTGAAACATTTAACACAGGGTAAGGAGCCACTAACAAAGACAAGGCCTTATCTGTTTAACATTTTTACTAATTCAATATTAATTAAGTATTTTTGATACTGTTCCTTATTGAGGTCTTCAGATGTACAGTGGGAATCTCTACCACTTTAAGGACTTGAACTGTCTATGCAGGTAATTGGCAAACTCACTCTAGCTTTTTGTTGGTCTCAGATTCTACAATGAGTTTTTCTACAAGATGGGCAAAGAAGCTTCATTCTGGAAGGGCTCAGGTGTCAGCCATGACACAGAGAGGTACACTCATGCCTTACAAGAGCAATCTTTCCAGAGACTCTTCTCCAAGCAGAACTGATATGTCCTGGATTCCCCTAAAGCTCTGTGCTTTATGCAGCAGGATTGTGGAGATTTCCAGTCTTGGCCCTTGCTGGCCAGTACTGCTTTTGAGGATGCAGCACACAAAAACACAGTCTTGGATGGACAGCCTCGGCACTGGCACGGGATACAGGTTCAGGTGGGAAGCTGTACTGATGCCTAACACTGCTACACTCAACACTTCTAACTCAGGGCTGAATAGGATTACAAAAAAAAAAATGTCTTTTACTGTCAACACAGCTGAACCACATAAAAGGTTGGGTTTTGCTTTTGACAAGAAATGGCGAGAAGGAAGTCACAACACCGCGGCTGTACTTCTATAGAAGTGGTACTGTGTTATGTAGAACTGGGGAGGGAAGGGTATTGACTCATTTGGAGCAGATTCAGAAGTTGTGGCCTCATTTATTTTTATAAACAGACCTGGCATTGCTGCATAACTAATTCTCTGCAATTGCTGAATCAGGCACTGAAAGTCTTCTAAAAGCTGACTAACGAAGTGTCTAAAGTGAAAATATGCTGCTACTCATAAGAAGAAGCAAACTAGCAAAAACCATAACAGTTAATGTCTTTAATACAAAATCACTTTCTTTCCCCAAAGCATCAGCACTGCATTACAGGTATATTACAGTTAAATTAAAAGGAACACCGTTACATCTTCAGAGGACCTCTTCATCTATGAAGTAAAATCTTCCAAATAATTCATAGTCCATTTCTGTACATTTTAGCTTATCAAAATGCACTGGAAAAAATAATATATTTCAGCAGGTGTCACTACCACCATTTCTCAAAGAAAACACGGTTTCCAGGAACACCAATGTTAGACAGTAGTTTGGATATGGATTCTATCATTGGAGGTGGACCACAGATGTACCATGAAGTATTGTTAGATACGTGTTTTTCTAGATCCTTTTCAGATATTCTTCCCTCTGACGAAGAAAAAAAGTAGGAAATGAGAACAGAAATATTAATCGTGAAGTCATTTCAAAAAGAATGTCTGGTTAGGGGTATTTCAAGCACTCCTTTCTTAAAAATGCCTGGCCTGTTTCAGAATAATAGGTATTGAGATTTGAGGCTTCGAAAGCCATTTGTTCTTTTGGGGATTTAGATCAGTACTTCTGCTTGGAATGCAGAGGGTATTAGTCACTGAAGAGAACACAGCTTACATACAAGCAAAAATCCCACATTCATGAAAAAAATAGGTAAGTATCTCTAACACAAATACAGCAGAAATGGAAACATGCTGAAATGTCTCTTACAAGCAGTCAGATTATCCTTCATCAATCCCACCTTAAGCAAAGTAAATAGGAAAGTAAATACTTTGCTTAAAAATTTCTGGAATAAAGTTTGAAGTGGGAAATACCAGTATAAAGTTTTGAATTAAAAGAGGAAAACAAAAACTGGAAAGGGAAAATTTTTCTGCAAAGCATAGTATGGTCAGTGAAATTATTTAGGTTTAACTCACATCTCGATTTGAACCTTTAAATGTAAAAATACTGAGTTATGCATAATAACTTCATCCTTTAGGATGTAATCAAACTTGGACTTTGATACCATTCTGTACATTTACCTGTAACATGTGGCTGAAGTTCTTTACAGATCTGTGAACGCTGTTGGGTAACGTGGAAACAACATGTGATCTTTCCAGGAAACGTGTTCATCAAACCAAGAATATTTTTCTGTAATGTTAAACACACTTGCTTACACCACAGGCCATTAAATCAAAGCAGATGTATGCACACACTCCCAGAACACCAGTGATTATTACAGAGAACCAAGACTTTGCATTTCAGCACCGAGAACCTGATGGGCTTGATTCCACAGGGCTGACCTGCACACCTACACACACAATTCCCACACCTGGAATGTAAATTCCCTGCCAGCTACGTTAGAGCTTGTCTCCTTTGCTGAGATAGGTTGAATCTGTAAGATTTGAGCCTAAGAACCAGTTATGTCATTTCCCAGTTTCTTCCCCTTTTAAATTCTCACTATTTCCTCCTTCCACTTGCATAGGGGTTTTCCATTTAAAAACCCCCTGCAGTATGTATTTACCATTTGTTAGGAACTTTTTGAGTCTTGTCTGCTTTATGTGGTAAGATTACTAGACCTTTTACTGTCTCACATCCTCCAAGTAAAACCAAATACAATATAATGGTAATGTTACTTTTTACCAGAGTAGAAAGTAGAAACGGTAATTTTCAGTTCCCTAACTCACAGCTGTGATAAGTTACAGCCAAAACCCCAGCAGCTTCAATTCAAATCATAGTAAAAAAATAATGTGTCTCTCAGATGCTGTAGTTAATTCTGAAATTAAGATTTAGCTGTTGTCTAGATTCTGCACTATTTAAGATTTTCACTGCTGGAATGGACACTGGAAATTCTTAAAAATATTTTGAAATACAAATAATGTCTACTCTGCAAATAGGTAAATTAGCTCATTTAGTTGTGTTTGCTTGCTAACTGGTTACTGCACTAGAGAGTCTGCCATGGGTTGCTTAACAAAAAACCCTAGACAGATACTACTTAGTAGGCAAATCTGTTCCTGAATCCCTAAAAAGACAAGGAATGAAGAGCAGCACAGCCTGACACTGTAGGACACTAGTTCCACTAGTACCTCTACTGTTGACTTGCTATCTTTTGTAACTCTCACACTGTATTGCTTCTACCGTTTGCACTAAGGAGATTTTCAGAAGCAGTGCCTCAGCCTGTGACATGAGAGCACATCCAGAACAAGCATCACACCCAAGACATTGGTGTTTCCCTTTGCCCTTGTCAGCCTATACAGAGCTGGTCCTTCAGGGAACAGGTCCTCCAAACCATCAGTGACAATCCAGCAGTTCCCCCTGGAGAGTTGTACAGATGTTTCTTGCAACAGCATAAGGGCTCCTAGTGATTCTATTTCCTCACTCCTCTGCACAGAAGTAAAGAATTTTGACAGACATGTTCTGGACTTGAGGGACACGTGAAGCATATTGTAAGCACTGTAAATATCATTGTGTTCTCTTCTGTCCCAGAAGCTTTAATACAAAAGCTCTGCTGTCACAGCATGGCTGAAGTGAAACCGGAGAATGTTAGCACAGGCACTGAAAACACCTGTGCATGCTCAGAACACACTGGCACAGCAGCAGTGGGCCAAATGGAGGAGCAGATTATTCTGCTTCTAGCAACAAACAAATGAGTTCTCAAAGAAAGCAAATATCTCCATATCTAGTAACATGGCAGAATTACAGAAGAAAAACTAGTGATGGATCCTATACACGGTTTATTTTCACCTTTATCTTACAATCAAAAGCCTTCAATACTTTGAAGAAATCTAAATCATTTTGGATGCTTCTTTACAGAAGCTGGGCTAATTTGACCCTAAAATGTTATCAGTGACCCTTAATGGCTGAGTGTGACAACTGATCTTTAACTGCTGAGTAAATGTTGATGAAGTGCTGGACAAGAAATTTTAAAAGCAGCTATAAATCCTTCATTCATACAATAGTACTCAATAATAACTAATGCATTATCAATAAAGCTCCCCTGTTATTTTAGAAAGTGTTTCCTTTGGATATAATTGCTCTTTTCTAGTTTTTAAATTCAATACAATCTATACCAAGACTAAGTGGTTTCAGTATTATAACATTATGCATACTATTGGTGTGTATATATACATATAAATATATATACTCTTTATTATACTATGATGCTCTTATGAGACTATAGTAAAATGCAGGGCTACAGTAAAATTTAGGGGTAATTGACTTATCACCAAAGTCACTGAGACCAGGTATATCTAGTAACAGCCTTAATTTGTACACTGGCCTAAGAAGTTAACAAAACACACATGGGATTTGAGGCAGGAAGTGAGTTTTGTCTCCATTTGTACACTGTCTTACACAGAAGGACTCTCTGGAGTTTGGCAACCAATTGATACGCTCACTAGCAGCTGAATAGCTGAGACCTATTTTTTAAAAAAAACACCTTTTTATTTACCTTAAATAAGAGTTCACTTGTATTTTTTGCACTGTAGTACAGCTTCACTGTTCCCAATTTGTGTCCATTTCCTTTACCCTCTTGGTATCCATGAAGATCTGCTATATGCAGCAGTATAGAAAACAATGGGTTAATTCCAACACCCCCTGCTATCAGCACTAGGTTTACTGGGGAGTCACCAGGCTGAGGATCAAAGAAGAAATCACCTCCCACTCGCAGAGCCACTTCTGAGTCAAGAGTACACTAGGACGGAAAAGAAGATATTTAATTTCAAAATGAAAAGCAAAATTGAAACCTTATTCTTCTCCCATTCCAGTCACAAGACTTGCTGGGCTGTGATTTTTTATTTTTATTGACCAGTGAGGGAAAACCAGAAATACTTCAGAATATACACAAAATTTCCAGCTATCTGAGGTAACCCAGTGTCTCTAGGGATCCAGTTCTTCTTTCAGTCTTATGGTAAGGCAGGATGGCAACTCCCCCTTTTCATCCCCATAGGACTTGAAAGAGGAACGATTCACACAAGAATTTTCCAACGCAGGACGTGGTTGTGAAAACCCGAGGTCAACGTGAGATCACACTTCTACCCAAACCCAGCCTCGTGTCAAGAAAATTCCCAAAAAATAGAAAACACCCAGAACTGAAGCAGTATCCACAAGAATACTTCTTACAGAATCACTTCTGCATTTGCAACTTCAGAGGCACAGAAGAATAAAAATCAGGGGAAAACCTTCTCTCTTATTCTCCATTCGAATGTAAGATATTATTTCTTAGAGAAATTAGTCCAAGCATGTTTTTTTGTTACATGGAAAATGAAAGCTACAACAAAAAAATCCATTTGGGCCAAAATCTTCTTGGTAAACCAGCACTGCATCCCGGTATGAAGGGTGAAACTGCAGTACAGAGAAGTCAGGTGAGTTCTCCCACATCACTGCAAGCAGACAGAACAAGTAAGAGCAGAAAACACAGCTCACTTCAGGCCGTATACAGGTTTTCAAAAAAAACCCTAAAGAGGATAGGGAAACCAAGGAAGGTAGGAAAGGAAGAGGGAAAAACAAGGAAAGCTACAACAACTGCTAAAAAGTTAGCTTAGAAAATGAAAACACTTCCTCCAAAGAATCCTTCTGGTATCAGGAAACAGTAAATTGAAACAAAAGGAATTCCATTAATGACAACTGCATAGACAGCAAAGGTCTAAACATGCAACAATTCCACCAGGACGAAGGAGGAGGCCTTTGGATTCAGGTATTGCACAGAACACACAAGTTCCTAAAGTCGTTAGCATGATCATTAAAAAAAAACACCCAAATTTCTTGCCTTTCTTAATTATTCCATGAAGTATTGTCTCTCAATTACAGTGTAAGACAGTCAGCGTTCATTATCTGAAGCCAGTTTCTCTCTCCTTGTTCATATACACCACCAGGCTTTCCCACCATGTTTTACTCTGGTTTAGAGATACATGAATCCACAAGTGTTCCAGATTCACATGGCAGAAGGAGGACACAGAATATGGTACCCTTTGAGGAAATAAACCTTTTCAGGGAGAAACAACCTCTGTCATCTAACCTGCCACCTTAACCAGATGTAGCTCATCAAGACTGGACATGAGGAGATCTCTCATAATCAGCAGTCTCCCACATATTTCCACGCTTTGGCCATGACAGTGATAACAATAAGTCAGTATATAAGAAAAGACAGTAAAATTCTGGAGTAATATGATGAGAAAATGTTGTAATTTAGTCTAGTTTATAAACACAGCTCGGGTAGAGAAGTGAAGCGATCAATGCATTACATGGACATTTTTCTAAAAGGCTACATTTTCCTAAAGCTATAAAGTACACAGTGCTAAAATTTATGATTTATATACAGTAATATTAAGAAATAAATACCTCTAAAAACCCCAAATACAGTAAGTAGATGAGTGCTAACTATTCCCATAACATCTTCTACCCTGAGTTACCAACTTCCTTTAGAAGTAACTTCTAAACAACTAAGTACCAGAGCTTTTTCACCACATATACAACATTTTCAAATTCTAGGTTGATTTTTTTTTTCTGCTTGTTTCCTAAGGAAAAGCATGTGGTTTTGTTTAGCTAGAAGAGTCCATATGTCCCCTGGTGGTTTCTCTACAGCATCAGGTTTGGCATAGCTTACCCCTTGATTAAAGATTTATCCTAAAATTCAACCAGTAAACTCAGCAACAAACTAATTTATGACATCAGAAGTCCTAAAAGAGTCTTCAGAGATTGTGAAAAGAACAAAAGTTGATAGGACAGATCACTGATGAAATATTTGAATCCTCTGACTGTAACTAAATGGGGAAAATGATGAACAAAACACTGCAAGAGACCAAGTGTCAGGCTTTGTTTTTAATATAGCAAAAAAATCAAGCCTTGAGTAATATGTCTATATTACAAAAATACTGCATATTTAAGAGAATATTATAGAAATCCTAAAGTATTCTGTTGTTTTGTCATTTGAGAAAACCTGATCTAAATATCTCCCTTGTCTCCCTCTTAATAAACCATATTTATCTGTGATTTATCAATGATTTCCATTTTATATTTGTAGAAATGCTCAGAAATTATGGAACGTTATCAGATTAGCCTTGTAAGGTGTAACACTGTTGTCAGGGACACAATTTAGAACAGAGAGTTTTCAACATTTTTAAGTTTATTAATTCCAAAGGAGTAAGAACCCTTATATGCACTAACTACAATATCATTTTTAGTCCACTATAAGCACAAGTGGAATCAAAAGGTTGCAATAACCATATTACCATATAAACATCCAATTTCAGTCTCTTACTGAACAATAGGTTTTAAGATTTATGTTGTATTAAAAATGGTTGAACAAGTCAACATGAGTTTTGCAGTCAATAGCCCAAAGTGGTCTAAAAACACACACACATAACCCCCTCCACATCCCCAAAATCCCACAAACAAACAAACAAAGAGCCAAATCTCACAGTTAATGTCATTTACCTCAGTGTGAATCCAGTGAGCAGGAGGATGAACAGTGTGCTTTACTGCCAGCTCTAGTATTCCTTCTCGTTCTAAGAGGCCAGGGCTTGAACATATTGAGAACCCCCCAACTACAGATACTCCAGGAATAAAGAAATCAACCCTAAAAATAGACCAGAAACAGAATTTTAAAAAAGAAGCCAACAACCTCAAACATGGAAAACAACAGCCAAAACAATATGGCTGCTTTTGTTTCAGTTATCTTTCCTTTACAACATCTTCATTTCCGTAACATAACTTTTCCAGAAAAGGAGTTAATCTTGCATAATGCCATTTCCTTAGAACTAATTTCATCTAGAAACAAGTCATCATGTTTTTTAAACGAGAAGGTTTTAAAACCGGACTGGGTTTAGCGTTAGATGTCACATCTTAAAACAGACTAGAATTCTTAGTGTTTTAAATAAATTATTTGCGTATTACAACAAAAACACAATATGGTCTGATAGAGTGGCTTAAATTCCACTCTTTTTGGTCCCTTTGATGGGCTCTTCAATTTTAAAACATAAGAAGATTGGGATTCTAATTTTAGGAAAATTACTTTAGATTAAACACTTTCTGTTCCTGGGAAGATGAAACAGTAGAACTAACAGTGTGTAAAAAATTTCTCATGGGAAAAGTCGGTTACTGGCAGCAGAACTGCAGCTCCCTCTGGTGGCAGGTATCACTTTCTAGGTTAGGAAATTGAACTGGAATAAATTCCTGCTTTTTCAGGTTTTGTGTTTGTTTGGGTTTTTTAAAGTTAAAAGTGAACCACGCCTGGGTTTCTACACATTAGAAGGTAACATATGACTAAGCTTCTGTAACACTAGACACTAGACAATATGGAAGGTAAGCCATTACTACATATGAACTATAATTCATTCTCATAAAAGTAAGGCTTTGGTATTCCAAATAGTTATCAGAAAAAAATTAGAAGTTGTTTTATGACCCATCATTTGAACTCCTCTGTGTTCCATAAATTGTAAATACTTTTGTTTTCTACAGCACATAACAAAATCCCTGTATTTCAAAATAAACGTAATGTTTATAACTAGTTCTTCTGCTCCCTTTAACAAACAACCACACTGCAATGCCAAGTACTATAGAATCGTTATTCAATTCAAGCCTGGGTTAGGCTGGCTCAGTATTTGTTAAATGAGGATGCAACAAGAAATACAGACTGGCTTCCACAGCACAGATATCTTCTTTAAAGAGCAAAGCTGTATCCTTTACAGAGATCACAATTGCTTGAGGGAAGAGAGAAGCACTTTGAACAGTTCACGACTTTAAACAAAAAATATCTCCCCGTACAGCTTCATCCTTTGAAGAACAACATCCTCTCTCTCTCAGAATGCACAAAGTGTGAAATATACAACAGTGATATAATTTTTAACTTTATGCTAATAAACTTGATGGTGTATAAAGGTATCAGACTGCAAAAGAAAGGTTAACAACCAAAAACGTTGAGAAGGTTCAATTCACTGTCCTCAGCTTCTGCACCCCCACAGCCCCATGGGGCCCAGCTTTCCTGGCAGTCAGGCTCCAAGAAATTAGAAAGGACAACTGTTATAATGCAGCATTTATCAGAGCAAAGAACATCCAACGATGCTACTGAAGCTCTTTACCTCCCTCTGGTGGAAAACAATCTTACTACTTACATTAACGAAAAAAATAAGAATTTGTGCTGTAAAGTAACAATTTACATTCAAGTCAATCTGTGCCCAGTGGGGAAACACACACACAAAACCAAACATTGCTGCAAAACCTCAATCAAACATAGTTTTTACCTTTCTAAAATACTAATGCAGATGTACATTTCTTTCCACATTAGTAGTTCTTTCCCAGTTACATAATTGTGAGATTGTAGGGCACAGTATACTGTATTATAGTGGACAAGCTCGTATTTCTGATGGCTTGTCTGTCTTAGCCATGTTAGGAAGGATAAGAGGGCTCCTTAAGAAGTGCTACCTGTGACAGCTTAAGGGAAAAGAGTAGCTGAAGGGGAAAAAAGAAGGAAACCCCTTACATATAAACCCACAACAAGGAGAGGCAAAAAAGATGTAAACCAGAGATCTGAGAGTGGTTTTGCATTTCCCTCCTTTTAAAGGCTAGCTAAGCCAAATCCTTAAGAAATGAACAATAATTACTGATTGCTGGAAGGAGGAGATTAGAAACATTAAAACCACAAACACTTTGAAGAAGCAGCTTTGTAACATGCATATACCTCAATGCATGTTTTAGTAAATCAAAATGGGTAACAGCAACAAGTCTCTTCATCATTATTTGTAGTCAGATAAAGACCAGTATCTGCCAGCGTGCTTGCAAAACAAATTCACTTTTGCTTCTAAAAATCTCAATAATTAGAACACTTTCAGAAAATTTAAACATTTTAGTGACAATCTTTGGCTGTGACATCTTACTATAGCAAATCCTAACAAGTTAGCCTTTTTTGTTCAGGAAATTGTGGTCTGGTATTTTGTACTGCTCATCAAAAAATGCAACCACAGTTTATAGCTACAAGTACAGAAAAGTTGTTGTGTACCTTACAATAGCATTAGAATACTTTCAAGGAAGAAGAAAATGAAGAAGAGTAATTATAATTAAAGCTTTCAGTTTTCAGCATGATAATTTCAAAAACATTTTTGAAGGGTAAATGTTCTTTCCAAGTACTGGCAAGCAAGAATTTAATATGAGTCACTGCACATGTGCAAAAACTGCAGCAAATTACTTCACAAACAAATTACTGCAATCAACATCTTGTGTTCTGGTTCTAAATTTAAAAGCCAGCATATTAACACTCCATGAGTAACATATGCTGTTAATACCCTAGCAGCTATACTTTGATTCCAGCAAAACCACTTTCAGATGGCCTAAACCAATAAAAAGTTTAAAAACATTTAAATGTCCATTGCCAAAAGCAACTACTCATAGTTTTAAATTAATTTCTAAGAGGAAAAAAAAGTGACAGAGTGAGAGTAATTTTAACAAGGAAGGATGACAAACGTGAATATTCACTACTTCCTTGGAAAAAAAAAGAACACCTGTAAAATTGCTTAAACAAACAGCTAATTGTTTCAAAGGCTTAATAATTCAAGTTTTTTATTTTCAAATTTGCCTTTCTATATTATTAATCCAACCTAACTGGCTTAATTTTCAGAATTAAAGAAACCTCAAGGGGAAAAAATAAAACTTAGCAAGGAACTCTAATTTAATTATAAACCAAAACTAAGTAACTTGCAAAGCAGCAGTCTCAGCTCCACTGTAAAGGTAACTAGTAAATAAAGACAGCAAAGACAGTTTGCAGAATAAAGTGCATGGAACTTTAAAGTACTCTTGAAGAAACAGTGTAATATACATAAACCAGAGGAAAACATCAAAACAATCAAACTGAACATTTAAAGAACATCCATTTCTGCCCTTTTATTAGTAGTATTACATATTTTATAATGACTATTTAAAAATTATGGCAAATATCAGCTATTTGACAGGGCAACCAATAAGAAAACATGGTATTATATAAACTAACAATTTTTTTCCAAGGTTCAAGGACCAGAGAGGCCTTTTAACACTTTGCTGTAGTAGACTTCTCCTAGTAATTTCTCCCACAAATACTGAAAGATCTTACCATTGTCCTGCTTTGAACGTAAAATCCTTATTTGCAATAGCCAAACGAAGTCTTTTGACTGTCTCCGATTCATTGGTGATTCCACACACTTTGGCTTGTGTAATTACCTGGCAAAAGGAAAATAAGCCATTGTGGTACGTAGATATCATTTGCAGCAAAAGTACTCAAGAAGTTGTGCATGAAATATCTATCCCTTCCATGTTCCCTGCAGCATTTCATTACCTACAGCACTAATGTTTTTTCACTGGCATAGAAAACCAGAAGTGGATTCCATCCCTGGAAGTGTTCAAGGCCAGGTTGGGGGGGGCCCTGAACAACCTCATCTAGTGAGTGGCATCCCCGCCTATGGCAGGAGGATTGGAATTTGCTGGTCTTTAAGGTTCCTTCAAATCCAAATCATTTTTTGATTCTATGATTCACTCACACAGTCATTGAATGGAGAAATATTTTTGTACTTACAGTCCATCATGTCTGTCACTTTTGTCAGATTTATTCTAAGATTATATACAAACTCACTTTCAGTTGAAAGCTTAACTATAAAGAGAAGTGATTGCTACTTATCCCTTTTCAGGTTCTTTACACATCTATACAAGACACACACTCCTGCATCTTCCAGCAACAAAGTAAAAAGATTTCTGATATAAAGACTGACAAAGGATATTTGTTAAAGATCAGCTGCAACTGAAGTAAAAGGGAGAATTCTGGAGTTGCATCTAGTTTTATTTAAGTAATTAAATGCATTGCTGAAACATATGTATTAGTGCATCAATGCAAGAAAACCAGTAAGCCTTGTGTTCCTGCATTTATACCTCCCCATTTGACCACATATTTTATTTATGAACACGGGGTAACTACGACACAAGGTTTTTATTGCTGGTTAACAGAGGAGTTTTTGCTTGGCAATCATGCGGGAGGGGATGCCAGAGCCATGGTTGATACCACTTTTAAATACTTATTGAAAAAAAAAAAGATGAAAAATGAAAAGCAGATTTTGCCACAGGGCCATTGAGGACGAGCACCCCACTTAAACTCTTTGACGACCAGCAGTACAACATGGATTTTCATCCCCTCCCTGCCCTTCCTTTTTATATTTTTGAGTTATAATTATTTTTGAGTTATAACTATTTTTGAGTTATAATTATTAACCTTTTTCCTCCACAAAGAAAGCAATGCCCTAAATATTTTCTACACAGGGTGATACACAGATTTCACTCTGTTAAAAGACACTGATGTCACTTACCACAGTAGGAAATACTCACAATACCATTGCAACTTTATCACTTCTCATTTGTGTAAGATCAAACAGATAAAAAAAATAATTAAATTTTAAGCAACTATGCTGTAATTTAAAACACATGGCAGGAAATTAATTTATTCATAAAGTAACATCTGAACACGTCCCCTGTCCCATTAAACAGCAGGACATTTGCTAATTTAAAATGAAGTAGCATAGATTTCTGTTCCACTTTGGCAGACAGTATTAAATGGGGAAGACAGTCAGCTTAAGTTAATGAGAGAGATGTCAGATATATGACTTAAATGGTTGTTCTGACTGAGAAACTTTAAATGCAAGAAACGGACATTAAGTTTAGATCTTCTTCATTCCCTTCTTTACTCTTCAGTACACTCCCTAATTTGTTATTTGGCTGAGAGAGCAGACAGAGCACTGGAAATTTAATTCTTAATCAGTATAAAGTTATTTCAAAAACTAAATTTACATCAGAGTGATTAGTATTTTGGACTATCACAAGAGTATCCAACTGGCCCAGAGCAGGCTGCAGAGAGAGGGAGAGGACACAGGACTCCAGATTTTGCAGCTGTATTTCAAGAAAGCATTAGGCACATTTTCTTATCCTGGTCCTTCACATTATCACTCTTCAACAGGCAATGTTCTGTAGCATTCACACTAATGCAACACAGATTTATGATTCTTTCATCTTTTACAGGACTGAAATAGCCAAATAAGGCAATATTGACTGCGGGAAGCCAACTGCTGATTACATGGAATTTGAAACCAAGCCGAGGATTTAAAATAAACTGATTTTAAAGTGGTCAGAAATAAAGTAACAAAGAATAAATTAAGCATTAAAAAAAGAAACAGTATAATCCTCTGATATGCAGAGAATGTGCAGTAGCAAGAATTGAGCCTAGCTCTTTCAACTATCCCACACGGCTTCCTTCTCTTCCTCAGGCCTTACAGTTCCCTGCACCACCCCAGAGCTTCCAATACCTCATAAGGATCCATTTTCCACATATTATCTAGCTACCCACATGTCCTAGTTAGGACAGCTGAGATCAGTTCATCATGGTGGGTGTAACCCAAAACTGTATTCTATAGCCTTCCATGTCATTTCCCAGAAACTAGACTATTGTTGTCAATAGACTATTCGCACCTTCTGCCCATAGAGCCTGACTCCTCAGGCTATAAACTAGGTGTTAAGAGGCCTGTGAGATAGGAGGATGTTTCTGTCCTCACACCTTTTGTGAAACTCCCCGCCCTGAGGGGAGCACTGAACATTCCTGCCTGAACTGGAGGATATATAATCTTGGAGTTTTGGAACATTTTTCAACCCACTCGTGGGATCCAGAGGACGGCTGCATCTCATCGCTCTCAACCAGACTTAGACCACCACTGGACTGCGATCACCAGTTCTGGCCAGACTGCAGCAGCTCTCCCACCAGCAGGTTCTTCCCCTCTCCCTTTACTTTGGACTCAAACAGGGCCCAAGGAACACCACTTTGTTCAGGCCCCAGGGTACTGGGTTACACATTTGAGTTTTTGTGGGTTGAGACCAATTGTTTGTTTGTATTATTGTACTTACTGTATTATTTTAATAAATTGTTATTCTGACTTATAATCTCTCCTTTGAGTTGGGTTCATTCCCCCTGCTGGTTAACTTTTAAACCAGCACACCACATTGAGCAGAAAAAGTAAGCAAGCCAAGCAATCAGAAATATCCAAGATAACTAAATCATGGTTGCAAAACTCAAAAATGCCATAATTTTTTTCACGTCAGAAGCAAACGAGAACGTGCATCTCTCTGTGCCTGTCTCTACACTCATTTTCTTGGATAAACTGGATCCACCTGAGCAGCTGTACGTCCACAGGGAATGCTACACTGCACTCAAGTAAGAGCTGGCATTAGGTGTGAGTAGCTGAGGCACAGTTGTGAGACACATGGTTCCCAAAGCTGGCTCACTCCCCGACAGCTCTGGCAACAGGCAGAGCAAGGCTGCATTTGTCTCATCCATCTACAGCCCATGTCACAAGTGCTGAATCGTTTGGTTTGGGGGTGACCTACATATCCCCTCCACCTGGCTTCCTTTTGGGAAGAATTCACTTGGCCTGTGACTTATTCTCAGCTAAAGTTAGGGAAAAACCTAGCAGAGAAGCACGTAATTATGTACACATACACACGCTGACATCTGTGTGGTGTGTTTGTCCTGCTGGGTGGCTCATGCAAGGCTGGCTCATCACAAATAGCTACTCAAGACTGAGAGAACCTAATTAAACAATGGAGAAAAAGTGGACACCCTTTCCCAACTCCTGAGCATTAAAGATGGGATTTTTCAGTCAAAAAAGTGCCTTAACTCCTGAAAGGGCTAAGAAAAATGCGGATTTTTTTCACTAGTCAAATATTTTTGAGAACTGAAGTAATATTTATTCTCCCAGTATTAAAAACTTCAAAACATCTACTTCAGCCTAATATAGAAAGGACATATCTATATGAAGTACAAGAGTATGTTCACCTCTGAACATTATGAAAAAGAATGCTTACTGCTCAAAACTGAGATCCAGAATAAGCATTTCTGTATTTTGATGGAGAAAATGCTTTATCACCCTTGTATTTGTGAATTGAAATAGATACAAATGAAGATCCTTTTTACAACTGTCTATCAGCTCTCCTTTCAAAATGTCTATATTTTTTCTTACCTCCCGTGCTATAAAAGGACATTTTCCACATTTTTTAATCTCAAATCTGGATGAGAATTATAGAAATCCATAAAAATTTGAGAATTCTGTGTAGAGGTGATGGGTATCCATGTGCTTTCGTTACTTATTATAATTCATACTTGACCAGAATTCTATTAAATTTCTTGTCCAACATAAAATAAATAGCATCACATCATCGACAATTTTCATAACTCATTACATTTCACCCATTGAGTACAAAATATGCTAATTTTACAACAACATCAAGTATGAAAAATTACAAGAAGTATGACAGACTCCAGCAGTACGGAAAACAGAGCCTAAGAATCAAACGTGATTATCCAGTACAATTACCTTCACAGCAAAAAAAAAAAATTACTTGCATCCTAAAGAACACAACACTAACCTCCTGGCGAAAATTATTTGCTGTCCTCTCTAGATGATCCATTTTCCTTTTTGATTTTATTGTGCTGCAACAAAAAGCAAACAAAGATAATTGTCATTCTGACAGCTGTGCTACTGTCCCTTACTGATACGAATTTCTATTAACATAACAATTTACCAGTGTAATCCAGACTACAGATGACATAAATCTAAATAAGAATTAAATATAAATATATAATTGGGAGTTAAATTAAGTATTTATAGGTCTGTAGCACTTTGTCAGCTTGATTTTGGCAGTGTTACCATGGCACTGTCTGAAAAGAAAAAAGAAAGTGGATAACCTACCCGTTCACTGTGCAGTAATAAAAAGAAGAGTGCCTCAACACTCCCAATGCAGAATGAGAAGGAAAAATTCTGCTAGCACCTTTCAGTAACTGAGGAACAGTGTAACCCACATAAACAGTAGTATGAGCCATGACGACTGGGCACTCTTCAGAATCACAGGCTCCTGAAAAAAATCACAAATATTTGTTAAATGAAACACTGCTTGACATGGCTTGTTTTCACCTTTTATTTTCCTTCAAAACAAAAAGGCCAAAGGTCAGCTGGAGCTAAAACTAGCAACAGACATATAGGATAATGAGAGGGAATTCTAGAAGTATGGAAGTATCATAAAGAAGTGAAAATGTGCATCAATCCAGTGAAGGGGTGTTATGATCTGCCCCTGAAGCCAGATAACTGACGCTCTTGTTAATAGATCCCTTGGGATGGATTGGAGTGAAATGACACTGAATGACCAGTGTTTGTACACATATATACGGCAGGTTTATTGTACAATAACTTGGTTGCAATGGAAAGTAAGTATGTACCCGTTTTGGTTATTATCTATAGAAATACATCAGCATAAAAGTATCACTTAAGAAAGTATATAGGTGATACTTATATAAAGAGCGATACCTTCTAAGAGAGAAGACTTGACAGCTGCCTCTCAAATCAGTGTAGTTGAGCCAGTTATGCCCCTTGAGAAGTGATGAATATCTTCAGGCTTACATGTGAATGTTATGATATCTCCCCCCCGGGGGGAAGGATTTTTACACCTGAGCCAGTTGTGTAAGGGAGGAAATTGGCATGATAAAAAGCATTATCTTGCCTCTACAGGATCTGCTTCTCATCAGCCTTTCCCCTTACTTGGCTCAAAACCCAGTTTGTTGTTAAACAAAGGTTGGTTTGTCATGGTCATCCTCCAGGGTGGATACTAATCCCTTCTGCACCTGGCCTGTTCTTATGCAGATCAGAAGTTTCACCACCACAAGCCTAAACCTCTCCTCCTCCCCTTGGGCTGGGGGGTGCAAACTTTGGCCTAAGCAAAGCACTCACTGTTTTTGAGAATGGCCGATTGTTTGAGTCATTAACATTTCAGTCTCTCACAAGGGGAAGATGAGCTTGTCAGAGATGATATAGAAAAGGCTGAAGTGCACAACACTGCTTTTGCCCCAGTCTTCACAGGCAAAGCTTGCTTGCACACCGACCTCTGCTTGTACCAGTGGTGTTTGGGAAGGATAGGCATAAGCAGGAGTAGGGCCAACAACTGCTGAAAGAAGCTGGATGTATTCAGATGCACAGAGCCAGATGGGTTACACTCAAGGTTGCTAAGAGACACAGCTGACATGCTTGTCAGGCAATTGTGTATTATCTATGAAAAACATTTACCACACAAAGTCTAAAAACAGACTAGAAACAGACTAACACATGGTCATTTTTAAGAGAGGCTAGAAGGAGTGCTTATGTCCAGTCGGCACCATCTCAGTCTCTGGAAAAATGCTTAGAGCTTGTCCTGTTAGCTCTGTGCAAGCTAAGAAAGTAATCAGGAATACTGGACACAGATTTACCAACGGTAAATTATGTTTGATAAATCTGAACAGCTACCATGATGAAATAAATGTCTGGTCATGCAACCATGGGGACAGGACACAACACATCTTGATTGACCTGTGGCTCCTGACACCACCTCCCATTGCATGTTAGTAAGACGAGGCCAGATGGACTGTTGGAGTGTTTGAAAACTGTCTGGGCAGACAGAATTCATGGCTTCAAGTTGCTTCAGTTGTTGGCTAACAATAGTAATAAGAGTACCCTGGCATTGTTATTGGGGCTGACACAGGCCAATAAATCTATCAACAACTTGGATGATGACACAGCAGGTGTCCCTGTCCATGGCAGAGGGGTTGGTCTTTGAGGTCCCTTCCAGGCCATTCTATGATCAGCAAACTTGTGGATGATGCTGTGTTAGAGGGATGGTTGACATCCTGAATAGTAGAGCTTCACTTCAAAGCGGCACTGAGAAACTGAAGGACTGGAAAGCAGAAACCTTGTTAACTTAAAGACTTACAAAGGTCTTACAAAAGACTTACCTGGGATTGGCTTAACCCAGTGTGAACAACTGTCCTGCTCCAAGCAGATTTGACTAGATGACCCTCAGAAGTGCCTTCCAGCCAACATATCTTTGATTTTAAATGTTCAAACAATATATGAAAGAAGATCAAACACTGACTGTGCATTCCCTTTCTATTGGACAATTTCACAAACTTTAATTAAGCCTGTTTGTTCACAGGTTTATTTAAAAGCACATTAATCCCTCACACTTCCATGTACCCTATATAACACATCTCTACATAGTTAAGCAAGTGGAGGACACTTACATGCACTACAGTGGAAACATGGTGTGAAGATTCAAAACTGGGCACTCAAACGGAGCTGTGACACAGAAAGATAAACAGACATGGTCAACACCCAAAGAAAGGCAGAACCACATTTCATTTACAACAAGCAAATCAGAGAGCCAAGAGATATTTCTCATACCTTATAGGCCTTTGTTTTTCCTAAAATGGATTAGCATAATTCTCTATCATATTATCATCACCCATCAAACTGTATTATTTCTGCAATGCAGTCCATTGCTTCTTTAAAGCATTAATATTTTATTTCCATTAAAATCTCTTCTTCTGCATTCTTTTAAGGTATGTAATTTATTTTCAAAATGTTTTTCATTTTGAATCCTTTGAAATGGCAACAATCCAACTTGTTCAGTTAATCAGGCCTATACTCTCTAGGCTTTCACTAACAACTGTATTGGCTGGTCACTTAGTAATTTGTCCTGTTTGTAATCTTGTACAAATGGAGGCAGAGCTTCCTTTAATTAGGCCGCTCAGAAATGGAATGCGTTTCTCAAAAGTCACTACTCAAAATGCCCACTTTCAAGCATAAGAAATACTTCCTGCAGTTTTTAACTGTCCATAATTTTTAACAGCTCTTCATCATTTAATTCCACAGCAGCTTGCAACTTTTAAAAATGGAATTATTTAAAAGTCATCTAGCACCAGTAAACAAAATTACTCAAAAATTTTTTTTCACCCCATTACAGAGGACTTAAGGTGTACTTAAGTGTTTAAACAAAACACTTTAGCACTTACTACATGCAAATGTGTAGAAGCTATTGATAACAAAAGTATTAACAATCTTAAAATATTTTAGCACAACAAAGTACACATCTAATGAAGAGTCCTGTTCCTCTACCTTGGCATGCTGTATGTAAAGCCAGAGTGCTTGAAAAATCATTAAGTTTCTCAAATTCATGAGGTCAGTTTAGGATTTGGAGTCTTTCAGACAGCATATCCATATACACCTTTTTTTTTAAGGCTTCTTGGTTTTGGATTCATGTTTTCATGCTTTTCACTCTACTACATTAACTAATTCAATGTAAACATGAAGGATGTTTAAAAGTGGACACTTATGTAAGCCGTTTATGCCAATGGCTGTGACTTTAATTAAATCACTACAACATCCATATGAACCACATAAAGTCTGACACTTTGCTTCAGAGGCCTAGGACTGAGAATAAAGATTTTTTTTTATCAACTCACAACTTTCAAAACCCTTTCTGCAATTAATTGCTAATAAATGCAGCAACATCTGCTGGTCAAAGAAGTGGCACAACTTTTAATTCCAATCAGAGATTCTGGACTGTTTATTTTACGTACTTGGTTTAATTCTGCTGCTGAGGTGGACAGTCATTTAAATGAGCCATCCTCATTCTCCTCCTTTTCACTGTTACCACTTTAGGAAGTAAATATGCTCAGTTCTACAAAGGAAAATGTAAAAAACCAACCAACCCAAAGTTCAGTATCAACACATAATACTGAAAACAAAATAAATGGCAGCCTAATTTTATAGTCACAGCTGAAAGATCCTATTCATACAGACTACTTTAAGACTGAGACTCTTTCATAAATAAGAAATGACTCTTGAACAGTAGTTCAAGATCCTTGTTCCATTTACATTGTCATCAATCACTTTCCAATCACAAAGATGACAATAAAGTCAGTTGTCATTTTTACTCTGGAACTAATAAATTCCAAAATGTCTTTTAATGACCCTGGTTCTCCTCTACCACGGACAGGTGTGAATCACACCTTTACACAATGTGAACAGCTTCTGCCCCATCTGTCACTCCTGTGGCTTTCTCCACCCAACCAGCTCTTTGGCAACTCCCTGCCCTCCATGGAGTGCACTGCTTCAGTCTCCCAAGCTCCTGTCATGTGGGATGTTCTCCCTTTATTCCCTTCTAACCCTAGCTGGTACAGGAATAGCCACTCCAAATACCCCCTTACTTCACAAAATCACTGAGTGGGTGAGGTTGGAAGGGACCAGAGCGGGTCATCTGGTCCAACCTCCCTGCTCAAGCAGGGTCATCCTAGAGCACATGGCACAGGATTGTGTCCAGATGGTTCTTGAATATCTCTAATGAGGGAGACTCCACAATCTCTCTGGGCAACCTGTTCCAGTGTTCAGTCACCTGCACAGTAAAGAAGTTCTTCCTCATGTTCAGGTGGAACTTCTTGTGCATCAGCTTCTGCCCATTGCCTCATGTCCTAGTGGCTGGCACCACTGAAAGGAACCTGGCTCCATCCTCTTGATACCCCCTCTTTAGATATTTTACATGCATTTTTACACTTCCTTTGCTCCATGGAGAGAAACAAGTGCTACTTTTATGACTGTTATATGACTCCTTCTTCTCCTCACTTATAATCAATCATTCATTCTCCTTCTCCTCTGACCCACTGGCCCTGGGTTAGTTAGTATTGCTTGAGATCTATGACCACATCTCTTCTTTCTTTCAATCCTACATTACTATCTGAAGGGAGAATTACTTTCATTATTACAGAATTACATGGGCTCTACCCATACCACACTGAAGAGCAAATTACTGTGTAAGTTAATGCAAGAGAGTGTTGAGGGGGCATCAAGGGTACTTAAGCAAGCAGGATAAGGAAATCTTTTACCAGAAACTATCTCTCGGTAAGAGGTACAAACAGTACCCCCTGCAAAAGTCACCAGCGAAAGTAATGTTTTCCCCCTTTTCCCCGGCCTGAGGAGCGCACGGTGAGCGCAGGGGGCGCTGGGCAGCCC